TATATACACACACAAATATATATATATATATATATATATATACACACACACACATAGAGAGACACATAGACACACACACACACACATATATACAGAGAGAGAGGGAGAGAGAGGGACATAAATATTAACATGGGGCTACATATATGTGCACTATATATTGTGAGATCTCTATCTATCTATCTATCTATCTATCTATCTATCTATCTATCTATCTATATATCGTACATATATGCAGTCCCATAGGTTACTGTTTATGTCTATGTACACATATACATTCTCACATATGCCATATAGTCATACATGATATATAATGGTATATAATTTATATCCTTCAGGCCCGCCTGTTACTATTTAGGCGTGTGAACACATGCCCATTCACACACACACAGTGTAGTCATGTATGATGAGAAATGTGCGTGCTATGTGACTACAATTGACACATTATATAGTCATATGTGTGTGTGTGTGTGTGTATTATATATATATATATATATATATATGAGAAATGTGCGTGCTATGTGACTACAATTGACACATTATATAGTCATATATATATATATATAATATGTGTGTGTGTGGGTTATATGTTGTGTTGTGTCGCATCTGTGCATGATGTGCGCTCTCTCTTTCTGTTCTTCCCAGGGCTATAGGTGTGCCTTTGGCAGGTTGCCTATAGCCTCCGATGGGACTCCCTGCATCTTGTGCTTCTATAGATCGTCTCTCAGAGGCATTTTCTATAGGCGTGCTATGGAGATAGTCGTCTCTCTCTCTCTCTCTCTCTCTCTCAGCATCCAAGGGCTGCCTGTATCACTATATCTGTAACAGTTGAAATGCATCTGTCTATTTGCCTGTCTGCCTCTGTGCATTGCATCCTGGATGCCTTTGAGTCCCAAAACAAACGGAGGAAGAGCTTGAAAAATGAAGATAATCACACCGACTAGGGTTTTTTTTTTCTTGCTTTCTTTTGCCCTGAAATAATTCAAGACCTCCTTCGGGCAGAGACAGATCTCCTGAGGGAGGGGATGATGGGCTTTCTCAGCCCTCTTTCTCCTCCTCCTGGATCTCCCCCCCCTTTTTTTTTTTTTTTTTTT